TATATATATATATATATATATATATATATATATATATATATATATAACATCTTCTTTATCCATTCATCTCTTGATGGACATCTTGGCTCTTTCCAGAGTTTGGCTATTGTGGAACTTGCTGCTATAAACATTGGGGTGCACATACCCCTTCGGATCACTACATTTGTATCTTGGGGTAAATACCCAGTAGTGCAAATGCTGGGTCATACGGTAGCTCTATTTTCAACTTTTTGAGAAACCTCCATACTGTTTTCCAGAGTGGCTGCACCAGCTTGCATTCCCACCAACAGTGTAGGAGTGTTCCCCTTTCTCTGCAACTCACCAACATCTGTCGTTTCCTGATTTGTTAATTTTAGCCATTCTGACTGGTGTGAGGTGGCATCTCATTGAGGTTTTGATTTGGATTTCCCTGATGCCGAGCGATGTTGAGCACTTTTTATGTGTCTGTTGGCCATTTGGATGTCTTCTTTGGAAAAATGTCTGTTCATGTCTTCTGCCCTTTCCTTGATTGGATTATTTGTTCTTTGGGTATTCTTTATAGATTTTGGATACTAGCCCTTTATCTGATATGTCACTTGCAAATATCTTCTCCCATTCTGTCTGTTGTCTTTTGGTTTTGTGGACTGTTTCTTTTGCTGTGCAAAAGCTTTTTATCTTGATGAAGTCCTAATAGTTCATTTTTGCCCTTGCTTCCCTTGCCTTTGGCGATGTTTCTAGGAAGAAGTCGCTGCAGCTGAGGTCAAAGAGGTTGCTGCCTGTGTTCTCCCCTAAGATTTTAATGGACTCCTGTCTCTCATTAGGCCTTTATCCATTTTGAGTTTATTTTTGTGTGTGGTGTAAGGAAATGGTCCAGTTTCATTCTTCTGCATGTGGCTGTCCAATTCTCCCAACACCATTTGTTGAAGAGACTGTCTTTTTTCCATTGGACATTCTTTCCTGTTTTGTCGAAGATTAGTTGACCATAGAGTTGAGGGTCCATTTTCTGGGCTCTTTATTCTGTTCCATTGATCTATGTGTCTGTTTTTGTGCCAGTACCATACTGTCTTGATGATGACAGCTTTGTAAGAGAGCTGAAAGTCCGGAATTGTGATGCCGCCAACTTTGCTTTTCTTTTTCAACATTCCTCTGGCTATTCGGGGACTTTTCTGGTTCCATACAAATTTTAGGATTATTTGTTCCATTTTTTTGAAAAAAGTGGATGGTATTTTGATGGGGATTGCATTGAATGTGTAGATTGCTCTAGGTAGCATTGACATCTTCACAATGTTTGTTCTTCCAATCCATGAGCATGGAACGTTTTTCAAATTCTTTGTGTCTTCCTCAATTTCTTTCATGAGTATTTTATAGTTTTCTGAGTACAGATCCTTTGCCTCTTTGGTTAGATTTATTCCTAGGTATCTTATGGATTTGGGTGTAATTGTAAATGGGATCGACTCCTTAATTTCTCTTTCTTCTGTCTTGTTGTTGGTGTATAAAAATGCTACTGATTTCTGTGCACTGATTTTATATCTTGCCACTTTACTGAATTCCTGTATGAGTTCTAGCAGTTTTGCAGTGGAGTCTTTGGGTTTTCCACATAAAGTATCATATCATCTGCAAAGAGTGAGAGTTTGACTTCTTCTTTGCCGATTCAGATGCCTTTTTTTTCTTTTTGTTGTCTGATTGCTGTGGCTAGGACTTCTAGTACTATGTTGAATAGCAGTGGTGATAGTGGACATCCCTGCCCTGTTCCTGACCTTAGGAGGAAAGCTTTCAGTTTTTCTCCATTGAGAATGATATTTGCTATGGGTTTTTCATAGATGGCTTTTATGATATTGAGGTATGTACCCTCTATGCCTACACTTTGAAGAGTTTTAATCAAGAAAGGATACTGTACTTTGTCAAATGCTTTTTCTGCATCTGTTGAGAGGATCATATGATTCTTGTTTTCTTTTATTAATGTATTGTATCACACGGGTTGGTTGATTTGTGGATGTTGAATCAACCTTGCAGCCCAGGAATAAAGCCCTCTTCGTCGTGAATAATCCTTTTAATGTACTGTTGGATCCTACTGGCTAGTATTTTGGTGAGAACTTTTGCATCCATGTTCATCAGGGATATTGGTCTGTAATTCTCCTTTTGATGGGGACTTTGTCTGGTTTGGGGATCAAGGTAATGGAGGCCTCATAAAGGGAGTTTGGAAGTTTTCCTTCCATTTCTATTTTTTGGAACAATTTCAGAAGAATAGGTATACATCTTCTTTAAATGTTTGGTAGAATTCCCCTGGTAAGCCATCTGGCCCTGGGCTCTTGTTTTTTGGGAGATTTTTTATTACTGGTTCAATTTCCCTAGTGGTTATAGGTCTGTTCAGGTTTTCTATTTCTTCCTGGTTCAGTTTTTGGAGTTGATACATCTCTAGGAATGCACCCATTTCTTCCAGATTATCTAATTTGCTGGCATATAGTTGCTCATGATATGTTCTTATAATTGTTTGTATTTCTTTGGTGTTGGTTGTGATCTCGCCTCTTTCATTCATGATTTTATTTATTTGGGTCATTTCTTTTCTTTTTGATAAGTCTGGCCAGGGGTTTATCAATCTTGTTAATTCTTTCAAAGAACCAGCTCCTAGTTTCGTTGATCTGTTCTCTGTTCTTTTGGTTTCTATTTCATTGATTTCTGCTCTGATCTTTATTATTTCTCTTCTCCTGCTAGGTTTAGGCTTTGTTTGATGTTCTTTCTCCAGCTCCTTTAGGTGTAAGGTTAGGTTGTGTATGTGAGACCTTTCTCGTTTCTTGAGAAAGGTTTGTATTGCTATATACTTTCCTCTTAGGACTGCCTTTGCTGCATCCCAAAGATTTTGAACTGTTGTGTTTTCATTTTCATTGGTTTCCTTGAATTTTTTAAATTCTTCTTTAATTTCCTGGTTGACCCATTCATTCTTTAGTAGAATGCTTTTTAGTCTCTATGTATTTGAGTTCTTTCTGACTTTCCTCTTGTGATTGAGTTCTAGTTTCAAAGCATTATGGTCCAAAAATATGCAGGGAATGATCCCAATCTTTTGTTACTGGTTGAGACCTGATTTGTGACCCAGGATGTGATCTATTCTGGAGAATGTTCCATGGGCACTAGAGAAGAATGTGTATTCTGCTGCTTAGGGATGGAATGTTCTGAATATGTCTGTGAAGTCCATTTGGTGCAGTGTGTCATTTAAAGTCTTTATTTCCTTGTTGATCTTTTGCTTAGATGATCTGTCCATTTCAGTGAGGGGGGTGTTAAAATCCCCTACTATTATTGTATTCGTGTTGATATGTTTCTTTGATTTTGTTATTAATTGGCTTATATAATTGGCTGCTCCCATGTTAGGGGAATAGATATTTATAATTGTTAGATCTTCTTGTTGGATAGACCCTTTAAGTATGATATAGTGCCTTCCTCATCTATTATAGTTTTTGGTTTAAAATCTAATTTGTCGCTCTTTTTCGTGGTGCCTTGGAGGCAGGAGGCTGCTTCAGGATGAAGCTGAACATCTCTTTTCCAGCTACTGGTTGCCAGAAACTCATTGAAGTGGATGATAAATGCAAACTTCGTACCTTTTATGAGAAGTGTATGGCCACAGAAGTTGCTGCTGATGCTCTGGGTGAAGAATGGAATGGTTATATGGTCCGAATCAGTGGTGGCAATGACAAACAAGGCTTCCCCATGAAGCAGGGTGTCTTGACCCATGGCCGTGTCTGCCTGCTGCTGAGTAAGGGGCATTCCTGATATAGACCAAGGAGGACTGGAGAGAGAAAGCGCAAATCTGTTCAGGGTTGCATTGTGGATGCCAATCTCAGTGTTCTCAACTTGGCCATTGTACAAAAAGGGGAGAAGGCTATTCCTGGACTCACTGATACTACTGTGCCTCATCGCCTGGGGCCCAAAAGAGCCAGCAGAATCCGCAAACTTTTCAGTCTCTCTAAAGAAGATGATGTCTGCCAGTATGTTGTGAGAAAGCCCCTAAACAAAGAAGGTAAGAAACATAGAACCAAAGCGCCTAAGATTCAGCATCTTGTTACTCCACGTGTCTTCCAGCACAAACGTCTGTGTATTGCTTTGAAGAAGCAGCGCACTAAGAAAAATAAGGAAGAGGCTGCAGAATATGCTAAACATTTGGCCGAGAGAATGAAGGAGGCCAAAGAAAAACACCAGGAACAGATTGCCAAGAGATGGAGGCTGTCCTCTCTGAGAACTTCTACCTCTAAGTCTGAGTCCAGTAAAAAATGAGATTTTCTAAGAGTGACAAATAAGTAAGATCAGACATTAAATGAATAAATAAATATAAATAAATAAATAAAATCTAATTTGTCTGATATAAGGATTGCTACCCCAGCTTTCTTTTGGTGTCCATTAGCATGGTAAGTGGTTTTCCACCCCCTCACTTTCAATCTGGAGGTGTCTTTGGGTCTAAAATGAGTCTCTTGCAGACAGCATATTGATGGGTCTTGTTTTTTGTTTTTTTTTTTCAATCTGTTACCCTGTGTCTTTTAATTGGGGCATTTAGCCCATTTACATTCAGGGTAACCATTGAAAGATAGGAATTTAGTGCCATCGTATTGCCTATAAGTTGACTGTTACTGTATATTGTCTCTGTTCCTTTCTGGTCTGTTACTTTGAGGCTCTTTCTTTGCTTAGAGGACCCCTTTCAATCCTTCTTCTAGGGCTGGTTTCGTGTTTGCAAATTCTTTTAGTTTTTGTTTGTCCTAGAAGCTTTTTATCTCTCTTTCTGTTTTCAGTGACAGCCTAGCTGGATATAGTATTCTTGACTGCATATTTTTCTCATTTAGTGCTCTAAATATATCATGCCAGTCCTTTCTGGCCTGCCAGGTCTCTGTGGATAGGTCTGTTGCCAATCTAATGTTTCTACCATTGTAGATCACAGACTTCTTGTCCCAAGCTGCTTTCAGGATTTTCTCTTTGTCTCTGAGACTTGTAAGTTTTACTATTAGATGTTGGGGTGTTGACCTATTTTTATTGATTTTGAGGGGGTTTCTCTGTGCCTCCTGGATTTTGATGCCTGTTTCCTTCCCCAAATTAGGGAAGATCTCTGCTATAATTTGCTCCAATATGCCCTCTGCCCCTCTCTCTCTTTCTTCTTCTCCTAGGATCCCAATTATTCTCATATTGTTTCATCTTATGGTATCACTTATCTCTCGAATTCTGCCCTCGTGATCTGGTAGTTGTTTATCTCTCTTTTTCTCAGCTTCTTTATTCTCCATCATTTGGTTTTCTATATCACTAATTCTCTCTTCTGCCTCATTTATCCTAGCAGTTAGAGCCTCCATTTTTGATTGTACCTCATTAATAGCCTTTTTGATTTTGACTTGGTTAGATTTTAGTTCTTTAATTTCTGCAGAAAGGGTTTCTCTAATATCTTCCATGCTTTTTTCAAGCCCAGCTAGTATCTTTATAATCATCATTCTGAACTCTAGTTCCAACATCTTACTAATGTCTGTATTGATTAGGTCCCTAGCAGTTGGTACTGCCTCTTGTTCTTTTTTTTTTTTTTGAGGTGATTTTTTCCATCTTGTCATTTTGTCCAGAGGAGAACAGATGAATGAGGGAACAAAATGCTAACCAGGTAACAACGACCCCAGAAAAATATACACTAAACAAATCAGAAGAGACCTGAAACCGGGGGAGAAGAAAGGGAAAGAAAGAAAAAAGAAAAAAAAGAATATGATCAAATATGATCAGGCTGGTGAACAGATCAGTGCCACACACTAGATTTTGGGCATATTTTGGTCTGTTAGAAGAAACTGCCTCCCAAAATTTTAAAGAATGAAAAACTTATATATGTACAAAAATAAGGGTAAATATGATGAAGGAATAGGATATGACCGTAAAGATGAAAATTATAAAAGATTTTATAAAAGAAGTTGGTTGAAAAAAGAAAGAAGAGAAATTTTTTAAAAAAGGGAGAGAATGTGATCAGGCAGGAGACTAGAACAAAGGCATACACTAGAGATTTAGGTTATATTTTGGTCTGTTAAAAGAAACTGTATCCCAAAATTTTAAAGAGAGAACTGAACAACTTATATATATATACCAAAAATAATATTAACTACAATGAAGGGATAGAATATCACTCTAAAAATGAAAAGTAGAAAAAGATTTTTAATAAAGGGATTGATAAGATGTTGGTTGAAAAAGGAAAAAAGAAAAATCAAAAAAAAGAAGAAGAAGAAAATTAAAAAAATTAACTTTGAAAGACTAAGAATCAGGGGGAAAAAAGCCATGAATTCTATGTGCAGTATTCCCCTAGCTGGAGTTCTGCCGTTCTCATTGATCGGTAAACTTGGTCTTGGCTGGCTGTTCTTGCTGATCTTCTGGGGGAGGGGCCTGTTGCCGTGGTTCCCAAATGTCTTTGCCGGAGGCAGAATTGCCCTGCCCTTGCCAGGTCTGGGCTAAGTAATCTGCTAGGGTTTGCCCTTGGAGGCTTTTGTTCCCTGCAAGCTTTCCGTACAGCTTTGGAGGACGAGAGTGAAAATGTGGCTTCCCAATCTCTGCCCCAGAGGAGCTGAGAACGCAGGGCCCACTCCTCCGTGAGCCCCCAGAGAAAAGCAGTCAATCACTCCCATCTCCCCGGTCTCCAGCCGCACTCCGTGCTCACCCGGCCTGTGACCGAGCATTTCTGTCTCTGGCACCTGACCCGGTGTGGAGTCTCCAAACCCAGCAGATCCCTGTGGTGCGCTCCCATGCCGCTCCTCCCAGGGGAGGAAGGGGAGTCTCTCTCTGGATCTGCCGCCTGTTGGGTCCCTGCTGGAGGAGCAGTGGCCCGACTGTTCCGTGGATCACAGTTTCTGGCAACCCTGAGCTAAGAGCCCACTCCTCGGCTCCGTCTCTGCAGCTGGCTTCCCCACTCTGATACCTGGGAGCTCTGCCACACTCAGGCACCCCTGTCTTTCTGTGACCCCGAGGGTCCTGAGACCACACTGTCCCAGCAAGGCTTCCACCCCCCTGCTTAGCCACTGGAGTGACATCTTTCAGCGGAGCAACTTCTAAAATTTCCAAACTTGTGCTCCGCTGCTCTATCACTTGCCAGTAGTGGCTGACGTAGGCCCCCTCCCCCACCATCTATCCTCCCAAATATCACCTCAGAGTCACTTCTCTGCATGTCCTACCTTCCAGAAAGTGGTCGCCTTTCTGTTCAGAGAGTTGCTGCATCTTTTCTTCAATCTCCTGTTGAGTTTGTAGGTGTTTAGAATGGTTTGATCCCTATCTAGCTGAATTCCTGAAATTTAGGTCTCCTACTCCTCCACCATCTTGCTCCTCCTCCCTCTCATAATTTCTTATACGTATTTTGATTTATTTTTATTTTTATATGTCTGTGTCCAGCAACTGCCTACAACCCTTTTCCTGGCTTTATCTGCCTCCTTCCAATCCATTTGCTACACAGAAGCGAAAAGATTCTTTCAAAGGGACAATCCCACTGTATTACTTCCTTCCTTAAAACTCTCCAATGACTTCAAATGCACTGGACACTAAACACAAATTTGTTTTTATAGCCTACCAGAGTTTTCATGATCTGGCTCCCACACACTTTCCTACTTCCTTCCCACTACATTCCCCTTCCACATTCACTAGGCTCTGGTCCCCATAGTCTTACTGCTCCTCAATGAGTGATTGCACTTGCTGTTCTCTTGCCTAGAAAGGTCCTTTCCCTATTTTCTCATAGCTGACCCCCTTTCTGACCATTCAGGTTGCAAGTCAAATCTTACCTTCTCCAGGAAATAGCAGCACCTACTTTACATTAGCAATCCCTACATAGTAGAAATCTCACTCTCTTTTATACAATACTATCCCAGAGCTAAGTAATTTTAGGGAAAAGTTTCCAGAATTTGAGACCCAGAACTGTATAAATCATGCAGCCCAAATTTGTACTCAATGCAGAAGCCCTGCCCGCTATAACATCCATGACAGCTTTTCCTTGATCATTTCCAGTCCATTATCTCATAAGACAACACATTCTACAACTGAAAAGTTTGAATTATTATTCTTTCCAATCATGTGTTTAAATCTGCCTCTCTAAAACTTCCACCATACATTTGCCCTATAGACCAACACAAAATGAGTCTGTTCCTTTTCTCACATGATATTTCTTCAAACATAGAGTCACATCAATTCTTCCTTTTTCTCCTTTGAGGCCAAGAGTTCTCTTTGTCTTTCATTGTTTCCTTTATAAATTGTTTCCCAAGTCCCTGATCATTCTGGTTACTTTCCTTTGTATATGCTTGAATTTATCAGTGGTAAACACAAACAAACAAATAGTAAATTCAACTGCTTCATGGTACATTACACTGACCTTCCCCTCATTTTGGTTCTGTGGCCAGACTAAGACGGAGTAAGTGTATCACAGTTGACTCATATTTAGAAGATATGGATTAAGATTTTGTCACTTTAGTGATGTTCCAAATCCTCTGCCAGATATTATTTAAGGGCATGCAACAGCAAGAGGAGAATTATGCTGTTCAACTTCAGATTTCCTGGGCTTTTAATGTTTTCAGTATGTTTGGCTTAAAGGCAAGAATTCCCTCTTATTTGAATATGTGGTATTTAAGAAACAAAACAAATGAACAAAGAAGAAAAGAGACAAATCAAAAAACAGACTCCCACCTATAGAGAACAAACTGATGGTTACCAGAGGGGAGGTGGGTAGAGAATGGGTGGGTGTAACAGGTGAAGGGGATTAAGAGTACACTTATCATGATGAGCACTGAGTAATGTATAGAATTGTTGAATCACTATATTGTATACCTGAAACTAATATAACACTGTATGTTAACTATAGTGGAATTAAAAGAAAAAAAAAAAGAAATGGCTGTGCCCACCTGTAAACAAACAAACAAACAGACATACAAAAAGAATTCCTTCTTATTTGACAGTTGGGTTAAAGGATTTATTTTAAAATTCAAACCTCAACCTTGTTTCCTGATCCTGTTGGATGGTTCTTTCTCAGCAAACCTGTTTATAATGTTCTGGCTCTCAGAAAAAGGTTTTCAGGAGCAAAGGGCAGTAAACCTGAGA